GCAAAAAGATGGGAACAACCTAGGTGCCCAACAACAGACAAATGGATAAACAAATTCTGGTATATTCACACAATGGAATACTATGCAACAATAAAGAACAACGATGAATCCATGAAACATCTCTTAACATGGATGAATCTGGAAGGCATTATGCTGAGCGAAATTAGTCAGTCACAAAAGGACAAATAGTGTATGAGACCACTAATGTAAGAACTCAAGAAAAGGTTTAAACACAGAAGACAACATTCTTTGACAGTTACGAGGAGAGGGAGAGAGGGAGAGGGGAATTCACTAGATATTAGATAAGAATTATCTTAGTTGAAGGGAAGGACAACATACAATACAGGGAAAGTCAGCACAACTGGACTAAACCAAAAGCTAAGAAGTTTCCTGAACACAGTCAAACACTTTGAGGAACAGAGTATCAGGGGCAGGGGTCTGGGGACCATGGTTTTAGGGGACAGCTAGGTCAACTGGCATAGCAAAGTTTATTAAGAAAACGTTCTGCATCCCACTTTGGTGAGTGGCATCTGGGTCTTAAAAGCTAGCGAGCAGCTATCTAAGATGCATCAACTGGTCCCAACCCAGATGGAACAAAGGAGAACAAAGAACACCAAAGACACAAGGAAAGTATTAGCCCAAGAGACAAAAAGGGCCACATAAACCAGAGACTCCATCAGCCTGAGACCAGAAGAACTAGATGGTGCCCGGCTACCACCAATGACTGCCCTGACAGGGAACACACCAGAGAGTCCCTGACAGAGCAGGAGAAGAGTGGGGTACAGAACTCAAATTCTAGTAAAAAGACCAGAGTTAATGCTCTGAGACTGGAGGAACCCCAGAAGACATGGCCCCCCAACTCTCCATTAACCCAGAACTAAAAGCATTACCGAAGCTAACTCTTCAGACAAAGATGAGACTGGACTATACAGACTATAAGACATAAAATGATACTTGTGAAGAGTGTACTTCTTAGTTCAAGTAGATACATGAGACTAAGAAAGGGATAGGAGCTGGTTGAATGGACACAGGAAATCCTGGATGGAAAGGAGGACTGTGCTGTCACATAATAAAGATAGCAACTAGGGTCACAGAATAATGTGTGCATAAATTTTTGTAAAAGAAACTAACTTGAGCTGTAAAGTTTCACTTAAAGCACAATAAAAAATAAATAAATGCTGCTGGGAAAATTGACCCATGCCTTACTCTATACACAAAAACATTCAAAATGGATTAAGGACCTAAATATGAAAACTAAAACCATAAAACTCTTAGAAGAAAAAGCAGGGGCAACACTGTTAGGCCTAGCTTTTAACAATGTATTATCTAATATAACAACAAAAGCATCAACAACAAAAAATAAGATAAATAAATGGGACCTCACAAAATTAAAAAGTTTTAGTCATCAAAGACTTTACCAAAAAAGTGAAAAGATAAGCTACCAACTGGGAGAATATCATTGGGAACCATATATCCAATAAGAACCTAATAACCAAAATATATATAAAACTTCAACAACTTAATAACAAAAAGATAAATAACCCAATCATAAAATGGGCAAAGATCTTGAATAGACGTTTCACCAAAGAGGACATCTGAATGGCCACCAGACACATGAAAAGATGCTCAGTGTCATTAGCCACTCCAATAAAAAAACCCACCGCTGAGTCGATTCTAGCTCATAGCAACCCTATAGGACAGAGCAGAACTGCCCCATAGGGTTTCCAAGGAGCTGCTGGTGGACTCAAACTCTTGACCTTTTGGTTAGCAGCTGAACACTTAACCACCACTAGGGCTCCCATTAGCCAACAGAAAGATGTAAATTAAAACCACAATGAGATACAATTTCACTCCCAGTAGGATGGCTAAGGTGAAAAAAAAAAAAAAAAAACCCCAGAAAATAACAAACATTGGTGAGGATGTGGGGAAATTGGAACCCTTATCCATTGCTGGTTGGAATGCAAAATGGTATAGCCGTTGTGGAAAACAGTGTGGTAGTTCCTCAAAAAACTAAAAATAGAATTACCATATGACCCAATAATTCCACTCCTAGGTATACACCCAAAAGACCTGAAAGCAGAAACTCAAAAAGAGACTTGTGTACCAATGTTCATTGCTGCACTATTCACAATAGCCAAACGGTAGAAGCCACCTAAATGCCCATCAACAGATGAGCGGATAAACAAAGTGTAATATGTACAATGGAACACTACTCAGCGAGTAGGAAAAATGAAGTCTTGATACATGCTACAGTATGGGTGGAGCTTGAAGACATTATGCTTAGTGAAACAAGTCAAACACAAAAGGAAAAATATTGTATGATCTCACTTATATAAAAAGACAAGAAAAGGCAAATGTACAGAGACGAAAGTTTACTGGTAGTTAGCAGGGGTTGCAAAGAGCGGGGAAGTGGGGGTTAGCAGTGATAGAAAAATCGCATTGATTAAGGATAGGGTTGCACAGCCGGTTATTTCAATTGCTGTAGACTTTTTAATACACGAGTTTAATAAGGGAATCACATTTTAGTCTAGACCTTTAATTTTGAGGTTTATGTCAAAGACTTTCATGACATCAAATTCAGTGTATGTCCCAATATTGAAATTCTTCCTTGTCTCATCTGCATGACATTATCCTGTCCTGTCCTAGTTTCATTTGTTTGGAGGAATAAATGAATGAACAAATTATTCTAATATTCATTTGTTTACCCATCCATTCATCCATCCATCTATCCATCCATCTCTAGAACAAGCTCTTGTGATCTTGGCACTGTGGTGGTCACTGGGGATAGGAAGATAAATAAGCCCTATCAGTTCTACTCTGCAATACATGGGTCACCATGAGTTGGGGGCCAACTTAAAGGCGACTAACAGTAACGACAACAGTGATTAAGGAAGCCCCACAGGCTAGCAATTTTCTCAGATCTGAATATACTGTGCCATAAATTGTTGCAATCCGGCTCATTATTTTTTAAGACTGTGCTCTTAACGTCATCTTCTCTGTGAACTATCCTGTGATCTCATTGTGCTTGGCTGCTAACCAAAAGGTCAGTGGTTTGAACCTACCAGCCGGTCTGTGGAAGAAAAGACCTGGTGATCTACTCCTGTAAAGATTACAGCCTAGTAAACCCTACGGGGCAGCTGTACTCTGTCATATAGGGCTGTTATGAGCCAGAATCGATTCAGCAGCACACAAGTCTACATTTAAAGTTATCAATGCCAACAGAAATACACAGGGTAACGTGAATATTAACTACTATCAAAAATTCAAAGTTTAAAAATCTGTATGAATAATTCTCACCACATCAAATAAACTTAGTATATCAGAAATGTGGTTCCAGCAATCTACTTGAGATGTGTGATATTTTAAGTCACACATTTAAATGAGAACATTAGTGCTTATTCAAAGGTATATTATTTTACACCATGGACGCGATGTGAAGAAATATTAGTGTTTAGGAGTCAGAAATTCTGAAATTAAGATTTCTACTAAGTTTTCAAGAGCAATCTAAACAGCTATATCAACTCAAGGAGCCGATACTATATAGTATACCATATAGGACACATTAGAAGAAGTTAGGTATACAAGAAAATTCTTATCAAGTTAAAAAGTCAGAAAATACCATAGTGAATCCATAGAGATTTTGTTTAATTTCAACTTCAATATATATTTCATTTTTAGATAGATTAAAGAGAATATGTCATCTCATATATTCAAATACGGAAACTGTTTCAAGAGGCAATGAAATACCAGTGAATATAAAACTTGAGATAGCAAATATAACTGTCTTAGGTAGTTAGTGGAGCCCTGGTGGTGCAGTGGTTAAGAGCTCAGCTGCTAACCAAAAGGTCAGCAGTTCAAATCTACCCGCTGCTCCTTGGAAACCCTATATGGGGCAGTTCTACTCTGTCCTATAGGGTCATGAGTCGGAATCGACTTGACGGCAATGAGTTTTTTATGTAGTTAGTATGGTACAATTTTATCTACAATAAGGTTACTGCACAAATCAGTTATTTTTTTAAAACACAGTAACAGATAAGCACTGAGTGGCTAATGTCTGACTAAATGGTATTACCTGAAGTATAGAACCCTGTACATCAACTTGAAAATCACATTCTGCTAACCGTAAGCTTTTGTCACTTTTCCTTTTGCTTCATAATACTAAAGGGGTCCTTACATAAGCAAAGAAAACAAAGAAAGTTCACAAAAGAATGAAATATTTGTGTCTTAAGTTTTTAGAAATTTAACATGTTGCCTTCATACATCTGTTCAAACAGAGTTCATGCTGGGATTTAGGTAAGTGCATGTCTGTATGCCTGTGACAGAGATTGGCAGTGCTGGTCAATATCTGTGTTCTCCTTTCCTTCCTCAGTACATTACAGACATTTTTCAGCTCCCTAAAATCTAGGTGTTCCTGGGTGACCAGACTGGCCGGTGGCATGTGGGCAGAAGTGGTAGCGTGCCTCTTTCAGGCCTGGCCCCTGAAATCTCCCTTAAGAGCCTCTTCACCCTCTCTCTCCTCATTAGCTGATGGGTGCAGAAGATTCTGCAAGACACTGAGGTGAGAAGATGGTAGAAAAGATGAAAAGAGCCTGGATCCCTGAGCGACTGTGTGGAACAGAGGACCCTTTAGGAGTCCCCGGGTGGTGCAAACGGTTAGCACATTTGCCTGCTAACCCAAATACTATAGGTTTGAGTCTACCCAGAGGCACCTTGGAAGAAAGGCCTGGCAATCTAGATCCAAAAAGTTAGCCACTGAAAACTCCATGGAGCAGAGCTCTAGCCTGACACACACGGGGTTGCTATGAGTTGGAGTCAACTCAATGGCAACTGGTTCACCTCCATGCCATGACCGTGTCATGAGTGATGAACAAACCTTTCGTACTCTTCACATATTTCTGTGATTAAGATAGTTTGGGATATCTACATTCAAGATATAAATGTGTCGGTTCAATATCTTACCAAATCACTTTCTGGACCTATACCTCCCACCCTCACCCCACCAGGGGAAATTGTGAACACAATCCCTCACTAACACAAATTATCCAGTCAAGTTTCCCACATGTGGGGAGACTGCAAGAGTCAGCATATCCAGGCTGCAGTGGATAAACCCGGTCCCGGGGGAAGCACCCTCGTTATTGTGGTAACTTCCTGTCAGGTAAGTATAGGCTTATACTTCTGAGAGGATCTAAAGTTTTATCTACATAGCACTTTGAAATGCAGAACGGACTTCAGGGCATCAGCTTTTAGTGAAAATAATTCACGGCAACACTACAGGACAGAGTAGAACTGCCCTACAGGGTTTCCAAGGAGCAGCTGATGGATTCGAACTGCCGACCTTTTGGTTAGCACTCAAGCTCTTAACCACTGTGCCACCAGGGCTCCAACCAAGTATTAGTACAGATCTATATTTGAAGGAAGATGTTACCTGCAAGGTTACCTGTCTGAGACCAAAACATGAACCAATGAATTAAAACTAAATCTTAAACAAACCTTTGGTACCAATTCTGACCCTTTCTTGGTGGATCCAGAATAGTTCCCTTATGAACTATGCTCGAGTTGTCTAATGAACACATCATCTTTTTGTCCTAGCAGTTGCCTGCACAGGGAAGAAAAACAGATTTAAAGAACAAGAGAGTGAAACTTGAGCGTGATGAGGCATATTTCACTTGTTAAAGCGTGAACTATGTGCTGGCAGCTGCTTGAAAATGTAATTTATTTTCATGAGTCTAACATAATACATTTCACTACTGTACTATTTTTATTGAAACTTTGCTGTAAAACATTCTAATGACAAATAGCAAGCATTTTCTCCCGATTAAAATTTTTAACAGTGAAGCTCATTTTTCTCACTATGATTTATTATGTGTAAATCATGTCGTCCTTAGCTATATTATTTCAAAAGTAGGCATACTAGGACATTTTTCATTAATGTCAGTAGCACGCAGAAATGTTGACCCTTAACTAATGGGTTTATTAAGTGGCAACAGAAAACACAGTACTATTAGTAGGAAGTTAGTGTACTTCCACACCATTAAATCATAGGTCTCTGGAAAAGTGTTGATCTCTTTACTTCAAATTGAACACAGACAATCAGTGCAAATTAATACCCATGTTAGTTCACATTGAGTCTTTATAAGCTGATAATATGCTATTCATAGTTTTAAAAGTAGATACATATTTACTAAGATTCTCCCAATTAGCATAGACCCATTGGCCTAGCGCACAAAGGACACTAGAGAGGGACTAATTCACACAAGCAGGAAGAGAAATCTGAATAAAAATTCCAACGATGACTCAGAACACCACCATTATTGTCTGTCTCCAGTTACTAAGGCTGATGGCTGCAACAGTATCAATACACTGGTGGATGGGAAAGGACTGGCCTTAAGGAGGAAAATAACTGTGAAATGAAATTCTGTCCGTCTTCCATGCAGCATTAGTAAACTGTATGACCCAGGTCACTGTAACTTTAGTCTGTAGCCTTACCTTGGGGAACCACAGGATACATAGGGCTATTACCAGATTTCAGATTTCCCCTTTCCCATCCTTCTCCTCTCTCTCTCTCTCTCACACACTCTCACACACACACACACACACACACACACACACAGAGGTTGTTTTCAATCCCCTCGTGCATAAACGACCAGAAAGAACAGGATGCTCATAAAATGTGGAAGACACCATGGACAAAAGTGGAGTCAAGACCTCTGGGTGACTTCTGGAATTAATGGAAGGTGATAGAAGGGGCTTGGCACACTGCAAGCCATTACAATTACTGGTTGAATGGAAGGCCTTATATGTAGATGAGTTCCTGTTCTAGAGGATTTTGAAAAAGTTCCTTAGAAGACTTGTTCCTGAAAGACCTGTTCAAAAGCAGATCTAAAAGACTCAATAGGGACTTTACTTTGGGTTGCCCTCTAAAGCAGTGCTTCCTAGATCTTTCCACATCATGGCACACGTAGAAAATGGTAATATTTGTATGGGACACTCAGTTTACTGGGGTAAACTGAGGAATATGGATTCTGGACGAGGTAGAAGTGGCTTGCTGGGAGTTGGTGAGGCAGATTTCTCAGCATAGAGTTTGGAAACTCTGTTCCAGAGAAGACGAGAGTAATCCTGAGGGCCTGATGAGGAACCAAAATCTATTAAGTCATAACTATGAGAGAAATAGCTGTCATTCATTGAGTACTTCCCATGTACAAGTCACTGCACCCAATGCTTATGTATGCTATTTCTTTTCATCCTTAAAATAATCCTATGGACTCCTGCTAGTTAACAGTCTGAGGATGTCAGATGATTCCTCTCCTCAAGAGACAACTATAAAACTAAATTACTAAAAACAGTCATTTCAGAACACTGGAAAATAATCAAAGGTAGCCAACACTTGGTAAGTGTTTAGTCATAAAAAACTGCTATTGCATTGAACAAGAACCATGAGCTTGTAGCTTTTTTGTTTTTTTTTTTTTTTTGGTCTGGCAACATTCTCACCCCCACAATCTGGGCAGAGAAAACTCGCAGCTTTATCAGCTGAAAGTGACAGACTTGCTCAGGAGCAGGCAACAAAGCAACTAGAAATTTGAAAGGGAGATTCTGGATGTAACAGCACTGTTGAAGGGTTGATGTAATAAACTCCATATACAACTGGCTGACTGATAAACTATGCATGCTCGCTGGATACTCCAGGGAACCTAGCAAAAATTAAAAGCAGAGAGGCTTGTAAATTTGCTGCAGTGCTGAATGTGTAGTCCACATACAGCAACAGAGGGTGAAAGTCTTACTAGCTTGAAGTATCTGCAAAAAACCTCTGCCCAAATCACTGGCTGACTTCTAACCCACGCAGGTGCAGGGCAGGCCCCTTAGGGAGTCAGGCAAAAAATAATAAGCAGAGACATCAGTGGCTGGAGATTTCAGTTTGACTCCCAGCAAGTTAGTAGCAAAGAACCCAACAACCCTCAACAGAACAAAATAGATTCCAGAGTCACTACAAAGAATTATCTATAAATCCTTTTCCCCTACTTTCAACCAAAAATTACGAGCTGTGAAAAAGAACAGGAAAGTACAACTCATACTTGGGAAGAGTGGGCTCAAATGTTAGACTGTTTAAGACAAAGACTTCATTCAAACAGATATTATAAATATGCTCAGAAATTAAAGAAAAACATGTTCAAAGAGTTAAAGAAAACATACTGAGTAAATCAATAAGAAATATGAAAAGAGAAAAAGAAACTATACAGAAGAGCCAAATGGAAATTTTAGAACTGGAAAGTACATTAACTGAAATGAAAAATACACTGAATAGATTCACAAATAAATTTGAGATGGCAGGAGAAAAATATCAATTAATGTGAAGATACACTGGCAGAAATTATCCAGTCCTAAAAACACAGAGAAAAACAATCAAAGAAAAATGAACAGAACCTCAGAGACCTGTGGGCCAATATCAACCATTGCAACTTACATGTAATTCAAGTCCCAAGAGAAGAAAGAAAGAAAAAGAAAAAAATTGAAGAAACAACAGCTCAAAACTACCCAAATTATTGAAACATATTAACCTACAAATCCAAGAAGCTCAATAAAACTAAAACAGTATAAACACAAAGGAAACACATCTACGTATTTGAGACTCAAATTGCTGAAAGCCAAAGATAAGGAGAAAATCTTCAAAGCAGCAAGGTAAAAACTACTTATCACAGAGAGAGGAACAATAATACAAAAATGGTTAGCTTCTCATCAGAATCAATGAAGCCCATAAGACATTGGAATAGCATATTAAAAGTGATAAAAGGAAAACAAAAATGTCAGCCAACAATTCTCTTCCCAGAGAAATTATCCTTTGAAAATGAAAGTGAAATATAGCCATTTCCAGATACATAAAAGCTGAGAAAATTAATTGGTAGTGGACCTGTGCTATAAGGAATGTTGAAAGAAGTCATTTCGGCTAAAAGGAAGTGCAACCAGACGGTTACTCAGATCTGGAAGAAAGAATGAAGAGAACACTGGAAATGTGGCTACACACACACACACGTATATATGTGCATATATGCATATACATTATTTTTATGTATACATGTATGTAGGTATATGTGGTGTGTGCACATATATGTACACACACTCATGCATACATATACACGTACACTTTTTCTTTTCCTTATTTTTTTAAAAGACTTATTACTGCTTAAATCAAAAATAATAAAACTTCATCTTTGGGCTGAAAATGTATATGCCTAGAATATATATGACACTATAGCAAAAAGAAGTGGGTATATGGATCTACACCGATGTGGTTTGTATATTTTACTGGAAAAAAGCCAGTAGTAACTTGAAATAGATTGTGGTAAGTTAAAAATGTATATCCTAATAGTAAATAAATAGAGCTACAAAGTTAATAGAGAAATTGAAATGGCATACCAAAATTGTTTGATTTTAAACAAAAGAGTAGAGGAATAGAAGAAAAAAAAAAAGGAAATGAAAGAAATAGAAAAGACATAGAAACACAGCAGAACTAAATCCAGCCATAGCAAAAATTCTATTAGTATGAATGGACCAAACATTCTAGTCAATAGGCAGAGACTGTTAGATTGGACTTAACAAGCACAATCTATGTATATGCTGTCTATAAAGACATAATTTAGATTCAAAGACACAAATAGGGTGAAAGTTAAAAGATGGAAAAAATATCCCAAGCAAACAGTAAACATAAGAGAGCTAGGGTAGACAAAATACACTTTAAAACAAGTAATATTACTAGAGATGAAGAAGTATATTTCCCAAGTTTAAAAGGGTCAATACAGCAGGCAGATATAACAATTATAAATATATAAGCATCTAACAACAGAGCTCCAAAATACATGAAGCAAAAACTGCCAATATTGAAGGGAGAAAATAGACAAACTAACAGTTATAGTTGGAGATTTCAAATACTCTCCTCTCAGTAATTGATAAAGTAAAGAGAAAATCAGTAAGAATACAGAAAATCTGAGTAACATTATAAACCAACCTGGCATGCACAGAACACTCCATTCAATACATACTCCATGTACACTCCAGCAGAATAAACATTCTTTTGAAGTATACATGGGATATTCGCCAGAATAACTATATGTTGTGCCATTAAATGTTGTTGTTGTTAGGTGCCATAGAGTCAATGTCGACTCATAGTGACC